TCCATAACAATATGTATCTTAAGTTATAACCCCAGTTAGTTCATCCATAACAACATTATCTTAAGTTATAACCCCAGTTAGTTCATCCATGACAACATGTATCTTAAGTTATAACCCCAGTTAGTTCATCCATAACAACATTATCTTAAGTTATAACCCCAGTTAGTTCATCCATGACAACATGTATCTTAAGTTATAACCCCAGTTAGTTCATCCATAACAACATTATCTTAAGTTATAACCCCAGTTAGTTCATCCATGACAACATGTATCTTAAGTTATAACACCAGTTCATCCATAACAACATGTATCTTAAGTTATAACCCCAGTTAGTTCATCCATAACAACATGTGTCTTAAGTTATAACCCCAGTTAATTCACCCGTAACAACATGTATCTTAAGTTATAACCCCAGTTAATTCATCCATAACAATATGTATCTTAAGTTATAACCCCAGTTAGTTCATCCATAACAACATTATCTTAAGTTATAACCCCAGTTAGTTCATCCATGACAACATGTATCTTAAGTTATAACACCAGTTCATCCATAACAACATGTATCTTAAGTTATAACCCCAGTTAGTTCATCCATAACAACATTATCTTAAGTTATAACCCCAGTTAATTCACCCGTAACAACATGTATCTTAAGTTATAACCCCAGTTAGTTCATCTGTAACAACATGTATCTTAAGTTATAACCACAGTTAAGTCATCCATAACAACTTGTATCTTAAGTTATATCCCCAGTTAAAAAAAAAAAGGTTTAGGATGTACTTCTTACATTTTTTCCCAGAAATCAATGTTTTAGTACAGAGGGGGAAAATAAAACATACTAATGAAAAAACTTGGTATCCAATTCGAAACTCTTCATTGAGAAATGTATCATTTTTATTCCAGCATTGTATTGTGGAGTTCAATAGAAGCAGTGATATCACTTTTATTTGTATACCACTGATTAGAAGTGGCATGGTGTTAACTGCTGTATTTAAGTGTTTACATGAATTTTAGCCCACAGATCAATTGATGCAATTACAATATACATGTTTTAGCCCACATATCAGTTAATGCAAGTACAATATACAACACATTTTAGCCTACAGATCAATTGATTCAAGAAAAATATACAACATGCTTTATCCCACAGATCAATTGATGCAAGTACAATATATGTTTTAGCTCACAGATCAATTGATGCAAGTACAATATACAGCACATTTTAGCCTACAGATCAATTGATTCAAGAAGAATATACAACATGCTCTATCCCACAGATCAATTGATGCAAGTACAATATATGTTTTAGCCCACAGATCAATTGATGCAAGTACAATATACATGTTTTAGCCCACAGATCAACTGATGCAAGTACAATATACAGCACATTTTAGCCTACAGATCAATTGATTCAAGAAGAATATACAACATGCTTTATGCATCAATTGATCTGTGAGCTAAAACATATATTGTACTTGCATCAATTGATCTGTGGGCTAAAACATATATTGTACTTCTCACAGATCAATTGATGCAAGTACAATATATGTTTTAGCCCACAGATCAATTGATTCAAGAAGAATACACAACATGCTTTATCCCACAGATCAATTGATGCAAGTACAATATATGTTTCAGCCCACAGATCAATTGATGCAAGTACAATATATGTTTTAGCTCACAGATCAATTGATGCAAGTACAATATATGTTTTAGCTCACAGATCAATTGATGCAAGTACAATATATGTTTTAGCTCACAGATCAATTGATGCAAGTACAATATATGTTTTAGCTCACAGATCAATTGATGCAAGTACAATATATGTTTTAGCTCACAGATCAATTGATGCAAGTACAATATATGTTTTAGCCCACAGATCAATTGATGCAAGTACAATATATGTT